ACAGGAGGACAGTAACGTGGAAATGCCCTCAAATACCGTGACTAACACTGACGGGAGGTCAGCTGCAAGGAGGACACGGTGGGAGACAGAGAGAGGATGAGGGCTGAATGGTAAACTAAACGAGAGAAGCAGAATGTTAAAGACTCCAGCCTGAGGAAGTCCACCCACCTTGTGGTTATTCCCCAAATGTCTACAGAGGGTCTATGCTGGGCCAGCGAGGGACTGGGTGCTATGGGGAATAATGAGTGGCCCACGAGGGAGGGAGATCCAGACAAGGGAATCCATATTCAGAAGCACGGCAGTGTTCAAGGCTTTTTGAGGAGGTGACACGAGCTTAGTAAGTGGAGCGAGCATCAAAGAAGCTTCTAGAAACAAAGGCAAGGCATCTACAAAGATGGTATAGCACCAGGGACATGGAGGAAGAAGAAATGGTCAGAGGAGTCAAAGGCTGCAGTAGCATCAGGAAGAACACAGCCTCCCAAAGGGCCCTTGGGTGCAGTGCTTGGCCAAGAGAGGGCCTTGGTGACCTGGGAGAGAGTGGGTCCTGCCTATTGCCTCATAAAACCACTGAGATGGGTGTGGTTGGTCATGATCACATCTGACACCTGCATGTTCACATCCTACCTCTAGGGGGTGCACAAGAGCCAAAGTGGACCCTCAGCCGAGTCCAGGAATTTTCCAAACCCAGAGTCCTGAGGGAAGGAAAGAAAAGTTTTCCCACTCCAGAGCCACAAAGCCTGGAAGGCCTGGCCTTTCATGTGATCGCTGACTCAGGGACTTATGCAGATTTTCCTCTTCTCATTAAAGCAAACCATGTTTTTTCCATTGCTCCATTTCCTGGTCACCCACGGCACGAAGTACCTAGAACAAGCATCTTCTGGCCTGCAGGCATTCTGGGCCATAGAACGTCACAATGGAGGGGCCGTCCTCATCCAAATGCTCATCCCACAAGTAGGAGACAGAGGCCAGAGACGGGAGGTGGCTTTTCCAAAATACACCAAAGGGTTGGAGTCAAGAACATAATTCAAGTCTCCCCACACTCAATCCAATATTATGGAGAGAGTGTCAATGAAAATGAGGAAGGCCTTCTAGGAGATGGATGGACACTGTGGGCTTAAACACAGTAACGATTGTCAGGATGACTCAGGACGGGACTAGTGTTTAGTTCGGTAGTGCGTAGAATCCCCAGGGTGTCCTAGGACACCTCACAGCAATGCGTGTTCCTTGGGTAGAAACAACAACAGCAGTAATAAGAAAGAATCCTTCTTGAGCACTTTTGTGTCAGACACTGTAGAAAGCCCTACGTATGGATGATCTCATTTAAAACTCAGTTACCCTAAGAAAATGGTTCAACCACCAATTAAATATTTATAGAAGTCCTCCCACCTGGAGAATAGAAAGATGAACTCTGTTCCTTCCTGAGACCTATTGCCCCAGGGAGGTTGGTCTCAGGCTTTGAACAGCGCAATGGGCATTATTTTTCTCCATCTGGGCCTTCAAATGCTGCAAGATTAGGGTGAATAACACAATAGTCCTGGCATTCGGCTGAAATTAAGGGCACCCTTTCCAAGGCTTTTTCTTCCTTCTCCTGTCTTCCAGATGCCAGCCTTGGCTTTCACACTTCAGTGCCTTGGGCAAGCAGTTACCTTTCTGGAGAATTCCTTCCTGTGAGTCACCTGCCTGCCCTCTGCTCTGGGATGCCTTCTCTGGCTCAGCAGGCTTGGGGCCCGTGCCCTAGTGATAGAGGGGGTGAAAGAGTGAGCCTGCTGCTCACCACAACACTAGATTTTGATGAACGTAAGAGTTAGTTTGTTGGAAATCTAAGCGTAACAGCCCTTCCCTTGCAGTAGGCATTCCTTTAGAACTTAATTCAGTAGGGAGGTTCTAACTCCACAAGGCCATTAAGATAGCCAGCCAGGCAAGAAGCACCTCCTCATTTAGATGAACAATGCAGTATGGAGCTTCGGGGGATGGTTTAAGTTTTCATCCCTGTTTCCTGGGATCATTGCAAAATCTTCTTTGGGTCACATAGTTTGGGGTCTATAACTTGTTTGGTTTTCCCTGGGTTTTTTAAATCGTTGGGAGGTAACAAATTGTCTCATGCATGCAGAATATACTTAGAGTTTTGCCAATCAACCAGGTCTCCTTCTCTGCCTGAACCAGTGGCAGGCAATCCCGGACCCCTGCTCACAGCAATAGTACTGGTTCCTGGGCCACATCTCTGCTCGAGCAGCGCCCCCCAAGTGTCAGCCTGTGCTTGTGTGTTCACGGGTCTCTCTCCCCAACCCTGAGGTTCTTCCATACAGAAGAGAGCTTTTCATCTCAGTAGCCACAACAGCTAGCATAGTCTGTGACACATAGTAGGTTCTCAATCAGCACTTAAAAAAACAAATTCATGAAGCCTTCTATAATCTAGCTTCACCCATTCTGCCTCTTTTCTTCCTCCCTCGCTCTCTCCCCCTCCCACCTCATTCCTCCATCAGACCCTTCTCCGGCCTTTATCTCATTGCCTCACCTTAGCCCCATCCCATTTCCCCCAGGTCCCCTTATATCACCCACTTGCGGCTCCCCCCATACACTTCCTGACTTCCATCAAAGTCCAGTCTCTGAAAGGCCTACAGATACAGAGGCCTCTTTAAGGGCCTCTGTCCTTAAAGAGGTGACCCTTAAAGGGTGTGCCCCTCCCACCATCCTACCCAACACACAGCTGTTTGAACCACTCCTGTAAACCCTGAAGTGACCCCTCCATTTCAGAGTGCTAAGTCCAGGACTGGGAAGGTCTTCCTCACCTCACCCCAACCTGAGTCCCTACCTTCTCCTCCCTCCACTCCAACCCCAATTGAAAATTCAAGTTTCTACCTGGCTTATAACAACTTCCCCTGTGGCTGCACAGCATCACCTCCCAATCCAAGTCAGAGCCCCTCCTATGAGCTCACTTAGCCCCCAAACCCACCTCTATGATGCTACGTCTCTCCCTCATCCCACTGCCTGGCTGAGTTTCTGCCTTGCCTCCCTCAGGAGCCTCTGAACTCCAGGAAGGCAGAAACAGAAGTCAAAGTTGTTGGGGGTTTTCTTCCCCAAGCCCCTGTACCTTACAAAACACTCTTAATCATGATAGACGCTGGAAATAGTTTTGAATGACTAAATCAACAAGTGACTCCAGGAGCCCAATGTTTTAAGTTATAAGAAACAGAGCAGAGTCAGAGCTACTAAGTGACTGTTTCTGGTGGGTGAAACCTTGAATTGCATTCTGTTTGCTTGCTATTTCCTTATGTTTCTGTAATGAGTGTTTTGCTTTGATAATAAGAAAGGAAACATCTTTAAAAAAAAAAAAAAGTAATTTCAGAAGCAAGGGAGTCTTCTCCAGGCAGGAAGGATCAAGAGCAGAGTGTCAGGAGCCGTGGAATTTCTCTAATGGCCAGCCAGCCAGAGGGCTCCCCACTTGCAGAGCTGGGCAGGAAGTAGGGAGGGCTCCGAGTCTTAAATACAAGGCCTTGCGTGCCAGGATGCAGGATGAGTGAGGCATTTCAATGGGCATTCTGGGATGTAGGGAAGTTTGTAGCGAAGGCAGAGCCTGCACAGAGCATTAACGAGGCAGTAGTGACAGAATCAAAGGAGATAGAGATGTAGGCTGGGGTGGCAGAGCCCATTCACCACCGACTTCAACCTGTTCCCGCCTGCAGCATCTGAATCACACGTGCAGGACATGTGTGCACTGCACTGCCCAGGCCTCCGCCACGATCCTATTCGGTGATCGGTAAATTTGGTCATTACTTCCATTCGACTCTGATCTGTCTTCTCACCTGGATTACAAATCCTCCCCTATTTCCCATGTGGCATTACCCAATAAACAAGGGAGACATAGGTTTGCTTGTACTGACTTATTAAACTGTAGTGAACAATTTCACTCTTTTCTTTATCTCTTTCTCTTTCATCACCAACAAAGGTTCTGTTACTGGTATGGCTGGTGGAAGTCTCTCCCAACCCCCTTTCAAATTTAGAATCCATGTCAGGTACGAAGCAACCAGTACGCACAGGTTAACCTGTGTTTACTTGTGCTAATTAACTCGTCTGGAGTGAACAGAAAAGTCCCACGCGGTGAAACTTCAAATGTGCTACAATTTTGCTGTGTACTACAGATGCACAGGTGATGGGGCTGTACCCTAAGAAGTTGTTGGTGACCTAGTGAGCTGCACGCTGGACTACTCACCCCAAGGCTAGCTGTTCGAACCTACCAGCCGCTCCGCGGAGGAAGATGAGGCTCTCCACTAGTCAAGAGCTGTGTCTTCTGGGGAACCAGCGGGGTCAGTTCAACTCTGCTCCGGCGGGTCACTATGAATCAGGATGACAGGAGGAGACGGGTAAGCGTCAGTACAGGTAAACCTGGGTGTGCCTTGCTCACTGGGCAAGCCTGTCACCTCCACAGGGTGTGCCCAAAACAGAGTAGGCACAATGGGTGAAAGGGTTGCCAGGAGCCACCAAGGGGAGCCAGTAAAGCCAGGGAACGGCCCTTCAAAGACGAGTCCAAAGCCAAAAGAGCCCTCTTTGACCTGGCAGAGGCCTTGGGTGAGGGCCCTTTAGCCCTGGACAGCCAGGGAGGGTGTCCCAAGATAGAAGGCCCGGCGGGGAGCCCAGCAAGAAGCTAGGGAGGAGCGGAAAGGCATCCCTGTAACTCCTTGGTTAAAGTGGAAAAGGTTGGCGGTATGGAAAACCCCTGGGGGAGTCGGGAAGAAAGAGCCAGGAGGCTTGGGCCACGTGGGCGTGGAGAGGGCTGAGCCCGAGGGCCGAGGAGAAAGAGAGCACTAGGTGGAGCAGCAACCCGAGTCCGGGTCTGGGTCCGGGTCCCTGCGAAGTGGGCGAGGCGGGGCGGGGCGGGCCGCAGGGCGTGGGCGGGGCAGGTGGGTGGGCGTGGCCGTGGGCAGGGAGGCGGGGTCGGCGGGGGCGGGACCAGCTCACTTGCTCACCGCACGGGCGGCGCGTCTTAAGGAGTGGCACTTTTTGAAAGTGCAGCCCCCTGGGTGACTCGGAGCGGCGGGCAGCAGTTCTATCCGACGTCTGTCCGGCCAGTTAAGTTCAGCCCCATCGCGCGCAGCCGAGCCCAGCCTCGTTCGCATCATGCCGGTCAAAGGAGGCACCAGGTGCATCAAATACCTGCTCTTCGGATTTAACTTCGTCTTCTGGGTGAGTGAGCGCCGCAGCCGCGGGCCCCTCCCCGGGGCCACCTGTTCCCGGGGCCCGGAGCCTGCGCGCCCTGGGGCACTGCCCGCGGCCGGGGGCGCCCACCGCTGGCGCTGCCCGCGTCGGGCGGACACCGGGCGGGAAGGGAAAGGGCCCTGCGGCCGCCAGATGGCTTTGATCCAGACCCGGAGACCAGCAGGGCTGACACTGCGGTGGGGGGCCCACCCGAAGTGGGCAGGCCGGGGGTGGGGTGGGGGAGGTGGGGGTCGCTAGTGGACTGGGAGACCGCCCCGAGGGA